GGAATATGTCAATGCTGTTGTAAAATGCTTCTTCTAAGTATGTAAATAAGTAATTAAAAAAAATTATTACAGTTTTAAGTTATTTTGTGCAGGTAAATGTACGTGGTAACAAGTATACCAGGTCACGTGTGTAAAAGTCAGAGGATAAGTTCTGGGAGTTAGGTCTTTCCCTTTCACCAATATGGGTCCTGAGGACTGAACTCAGGTCTTCAGGGCTGGTAGCAAGCACCTTCACCTGCTGGGTTATCTTGCCAGCCCTCAATAATACCATTTTATATTCTCATTGAAAGTGCAGAAGAGTTCCAATTCTCCTAAATCCTTTACTTTTTCATTTTCTGGCAAGTTTTTCTTTTTTTTTATAAAAAATTATTGTGTGTGCATGATTGGGTAAAGACATGCATGCCATGGTGTGTGTGTGTGGAGGGCAGAAAACTTTGTGGAGTTGGTTCTCACCTTTCTTTCCTTCTACCATGTAGGTCTCAGGGATTGAACTCAGGTTGGCAGGCTTACTCAGCAAGTGCCTTTATCTACTGAGCCATCTCACTGATCCATTTCCTAGGTTCATATCCCATGACAGTGTGCGATCCCACAGTCTTCTGTATACTAGGTAAGCACTATGCCACTGAGTCACACTCCTAACCTTTTATTTTATATACAGGGTTTCACTATGTAGCCCAGAATTCATGGTACACCTTCTTCTTCAGTCTCTTCAGTGCTAGAGTTACAGGTGTGCACCACCGCACATAGCTGTTAGTTTTTTTTAGCATAGTTGTTCAAGTAGCTGAAAATTTTACTGCTTATTTTTTGATACAGAATTCACTATGTAGTTTCCTGAACACCTATATTATAGGCATGTACCACCATACTAGCGCTGTTTTTAAAATTATTCTCATGGGCTGGAGAGATGGCTCAGCAGTTAAGAACACTAACTGTTCTTGCAGAAGACCCGGGTTCAAATCCCAGCACCCACATGGCAGCTAACAAGTGTCCATAACTCAATGACCTCTTCTGTCCTCCACAGGCACCGCATGACATGGGTGCACTTACACACATGCAGGCAATACATGCATACACATAAAATAAAAATAAACAAAGTTAAAAAAAATTATTTTCATGGGATGGGGCTGGAAAAGATGGATCAGAGGTTAAGAACACTGGTTGTTCTTGTAGAAGACCTGGGTTCAAATCCAAGCACCCACATAGCAGCTAACAACTGTCCAAAACTCCAGTTCCAGGGGATTTGACGGCTTCTTCTGTCCTCCGTGGGCATTCACGTCATAGGTGTACTTATCTACATGCAAGCAATACACTCATACACAAAAAATAAAAATAAATAAAAATTTTTTAAAAATTACTTTCATGGGCTGGAGCGATGGCTATGGGTAAAGTGCTTGTGCAATCATGAGAATCTGAGTTTAGACCTCAGTACCCACATAAAAGCTGAAAGCCACAGTGCACATCTGTAATCCCACCATTGGGAGTCAGAGGTAAACATGGAGATAGGTAGATCCTGGGGTGCTCAATGACTAGCCAGTCTAGGTGAAATGAGCTCCAAGTTCAATGAGAGAACCAGTCTCAAAAAATAAGTGGAGGATCGGAGAGGTTGGAGAAATGGCTCAGTGGTTAGGAGCACTGGCTGTCTTGCAGAGGATCCAGGTTCAATTCCCAGCGCCCAAATGGTAGCCAACAACTGTCCATATAACTCCAGTTTCAGGGGATCTGACGTCCTTGTCTGACCTCTGCAGGAATCGCACAGTATGGGTACACTTACACACATGTAGGCAAAACACCCACACACATAAAATAAAAATAAATAAAATAAATAAGGTGGATAGCCATAGAAGAACACAGTGGATGTCTATCTCTGTCCTCCAGAGGTACATGCATAGTGAGCAGGGAACACCTGCCTATGCAAACATGTGAATATACATGTGTACACACATACATATACACAAACACCACATACATACAGATAAAAAAGAAGTCAAAAGTTCTCTCCTGTTGAGGCTGCAATTTGATAATTAGGCCTCTCATTCTAATCTTTTTTCTTCCATTTTTCCAAATCCTATTTCTCTTGATGTATTCTAATTTCCTCAAAATTATTTTAGTTTTTTAGTTGGTTAGTTAGCTTTGTTTTTTGAGACAGGGTCTTCCTCTAGCCCCAGCTGGCCTGGAACTCAGAGATCAGCCTGCCTTTGACTCCTGAGTGATGGGATTAAAGGCGCATGTCACCATGCCCAGCTATTTTCTTTCTTTCCAAAATTCCTACTCATTCTTTATAAATTTGTCCAAATATCTTACCCATCATTCATTTTGCTATCATATTTAATCTCTGACATTTAAGGTTTTTATTTTTCTATGTGCACACATGTCTGTGTGGAGGTGTATATATGAGTATTTGGGTGCCAGAGGCCAGAAGACGGCATTGGTTCCCCTAGAGCTGGAGCTCTACGCAGTTGTGAGTTACCTGAAGTGTGTGCTGGGAATCAAACTCAGGTTCTCTGCAAGAGCAGTACAAATTCTTAACTGCTAGGCCAACTTTCCAGCTCTTTAACATTTTTTTTTTTTTTTGCCTCTACCTCCCAAGTGCTGGGACTAAAGGTATGTGCCACCACAGCTGGCTCCCCCTTTAACATTTCTTATATAGCTATTTTATATTTTGTCTGATAATTCCAATATGATTCTCATAGTGGTCTGTTTTCCTATGGAACTCACTAGGTAGACCAGTCTGGCCTTGAACCCAGAGATTCACCCGCCTCTGCCTCCTGAGTGCTGGTACTAAAAGCATGTGCTACCTACCACACCCAGCCGAGTGTTTGGAGATCTTTGATTGTGAATAAGTTTGTTTCATTTTAATCTACAGGATCCCCTGTGGGGTAAACAAAAAATGTGTTCCTCTAGAGAAAACCTTTTGTAGAAGCCAGCATGTAAAAATAACACAAGACCACATTAGGGACTCAGGATATAGCTCTGGGGTAGAGTGCTTGTCTAACATGTGGGACATCTTAGGTTCTCTCTCTCTCTCTCTCTCTCTCTCTCTCTCTCTCTCTCACACACACACACACACACACACACACACACACACACACACCCCACACACACAAAGAGAGAGATCACACACACACACACACACACACACACACACACACACCCCACACACAAAGAGAGAGAGAGAGAGAGAAAAAAAAGAAAAGGTGGATTCTCAGAATCAGTCAGGCCTAGTTATGTACACCTATAATCCCAGAACTTGGAGGGTGGGGGCAGGAAGATGAATTGTTCAAAACCATTTTGGTTGCATACTCACTAAGTAGTAGCTGGCTGAATGACATGAGTTTATCAATCTTTGTGTGTCTGAGTGTGTCTGGACGCCAGAGAACAGCCTCAGGTATGGTTCCTCAGGTGCTGTGTATGGTTGAGACAGGGTCTGTCATTTGCATGGATTTCCAGGAATCCACCATTCTCTGCTACCCCTGTACTGGGATTACAAGCATGTGCACAATACCTAGCATTGTTTTCTATGTGGGTTTTGAGAACAGAATTCATTTTACCAGCTGAGCTATTTCTCCAGCCTGAGTCCATTATTTTAAAAATATATTTTTCTTATTTTTATGTGTATATATGTGTATGTATATGTGTGTTATTTGTGTGTGTGTGTGTGTGTGTGTATGTGTGTGTGTGTGTCCATGCATATGCAAGCAGGTGCCTGCAGAAGCCAAAGGCATTGGATTCTCTGGAGCTAGAGTTGTGGGCCACCAACACGAGTGCTAGGAACTGAACTCAGGTTCTCTGAAAAATAGTACTTGCTCTTAACGATTGAGCCATCTTTCCAGTCCTGATTTCATCATTTTATTTTAATTAATTAATTATTGGGGGGGCTGGTATTTTTGAAACAGGGTCTCCCCATAGCCTTAGCTGGCTTGGAACTCTCTATGCAAACCAGGCGGGCTTCAAACTCACAGAGATCCACCTGTCTCTGCCTCGCAAGCACTGGGATTAAAGGCATGTACTACCAAGCCTGGCCTCTGATTTCATTATTTAAAAAAAAAATATTTGTTGGGGCTGGAGAGATGGCTCAGCAGTTAAGAACACTGACTGTTCCTGAAGAAGACCTGGGTTTGAATCTCAGCACCCACATGGCAGCTAACAACTGTCCGTTAACCCAGTTTCAGGGGATCTGACAGCCTCTTCTGTCTTCTGCGGGCACTGCATGACACGGGTGCACTTACCTACATGCAGGCAATACACACATACACATAAAATAAAATAAATAAATAAATTTTTTCTCTGCAAGAGCAGCCAGTGTGCTTAACCTCTGAGCCATCTCTCCAGCCCCCTAATTTTTATTTTTTAATTTTTAAACTTATTTTTACTCATGTGTGTATGTATGTGTGTCTATGTGAGTCTCTGTCATGCCATGTGTGGGTTTCTGAAGAGGCCACACAAGGGCACTGGATTTCTTGGAGCTAGAGGTAAAGTTACAGGCAGTTGGAAACTGAACACTGGTTCTCTGGAAGAGCAAGAAAGGCTCTTAACCACTGAGTCATGTCTCCAACCCCAGGAATAAATAGTTTGGGTTTTTTTGTTGTTGTTTACGTAAAGGCAGGGTCTTATTATGTATCTATTCTTCACTGGCCTGGAACTCACTATGTAGAACAGCCTGGCCTCCAACTCACAGAAATATGCCGGCTATGCTTTCCATGTGCTGGGATTAAAATCGTGCATTACCACATCTCGAAAGAAATTGTTTTTTAAAGGAAAATGTAGCTTCTACTCTCAGAAGTAGAGCTCTTGCCTACTATACACAATTTCCTAGGTTTAACTCCCAATACCAAAAGAAAAATAAAACAAAAGCTAGAAAGAAAAACTGTGTGCATTAGCAGGAAAGTCATAACAAACATTTTGGTCAAAGAATCTTTCTTGCACAATATGCATATTATTCACGCTCTTGTTAGGGATTAAAACAAAGAGGGAGAAACAAAAAAATTTAAGAATGTACTTACTTCACCAGAGCAGCTGCTTCAGGAAGTACATCTGCAAACGATTCACGGAATATGATTGCATTTTTCCTCTTACAATTCTGTATGACATCATTGGCCAGGTAAAAGAGATTCAAACGGTGGGGATATGTAGCTAGAGATGAGAAAATGAATAAAGAACAATGAATTATTTTACACTTAGTTCAACATATTCCCAATATATTGTTTTCAAACAGTTCTTGTTGGTTCATGGATGTAACAGGATAGGCTAATTACGTGGCTGAAAGGATGAATAAGCAAATTAATGGGTCAATTTAATAAATGTACTAAAAACCTTAACTACACTTCAGGTTAAATTTCTATTTAAGGTACTCTTCAAGTAAATTAATTTGTAAATCTTTGGCACTAAAAAAACAAAAAGACCCATTAGCTTTACAGAAGCTAAAATAAAACTGTTCTTCTAAGCATGCAGGAAGATAAAAAAATTGAGTTGAATAAACTCAGCTTGTTGCAAAACTACCAAGGTTAGTAGAAAAAGCACCGCATTAGAATACAATTGTGTACATGATGCTTAATAGCATATTATACATGGATCCTTCTGATCAACCAACCAATTCAGATACTACTCAGATACATCTAAGTCTATTTACTGGCTGAGGCTATTTCTATTACCATGTGAGTGCTTTGAGAATAAACTGACTCCACGTATACACCTAGGTTCAGCTTTAAAAAGGCTCATGGTCATTTATTATTTAGAATCTTGAGTCAATCCACCTAAGGTTAACTGTTATGTTAGGCAATTCCAATGTCCATATAGGGATGATCCATGTTTTTATAGTTCCTTGAGGTCTTTGGTCTCAAATTCAGTAACCTCAAGAACTCCTCACTCTTTCTCTGACCATACTCTCCTGCTCCCATTATACTGGCCCTACAATTTCATCAGATGTCTGTTCTTTATTTTCTCTAACTCCTCAGTCTCTTCTAGTATTCAGCTCTATTAAGCCAATAGAGTATTTGATATATTTTAAACTGCTCTTTTATCAAATCCTCATTCTCTTTTCCCTCTCTGCCTAGTTTAGCTTTCTATCACATGCACCAAACAAAATCACAAATTTGGATTCACCTACCTGAATGCTTTTTTTTTAAGATAGGGTCTTATCATAGCCCAAACTGGCCTCAAATTCCTGATCCTTCTATCACCACCTCCTGAGTGCTGAAATTGCAAGCATGTGTCCCACCATACATAGCTGCACCTTTATTTCTGCTGCTAGGTTCTACTAAAGAAAAAGTATACCAAGAAGAGGATGGACACCACATGAACTAGTTTCCTTCCTCCACTGGGCCCCTAATGTTAACAATCCCTCCATATGTCCTTAGTCAGAATCTTCTCCCATTTGATCTAAGTATTTAAAATGTATACCACTTAGGAAGCTCTCTGTATTACCACATCTCTTTCATTCTTAGGACATAAGCTTATATGCTATTTTATAGGGAAATCAGAAACCATTAAATGAGAATCATGTTCTCTCAAGGTATGTGCAATTATCTCTACCCCCATTTCCCAGAAGAGTTCCAACACCCTAAAAGAAAGGAAAAACTAAATAAATCTGAACAAAACAAAAACAAATGAACAACCAAAAATCACCAACCAACAATACCAAAAAACCCTAGCTAGGTATGGTAGTATATGCCTGCAACCCCAGTACTTGGAGTGAAGGCAGGAAGATTAGTTCAGGGTTATCCTAAGTGATACAGAGCAAGTTTGAGGTTATCCTGGGTTACATGAGACCCTGTCTCAAAAACAACAGTAAGACCCCTAAAATGTTAATAACTGGAGAATTTGGGTGTAGACAGGAAGTCTTTGTAATATTCTACAGTATTTTTTAAAAGATGCATTTATTTTTATGTGAGTGAGTGTTCTGGTGCATGCATATATGTGTATTACATGGGTGTCTGGTGCCCATGGAGGCCAGAAGAGGGAGTTAAATCCTCTAGAATTGGTGTTACAGACAGTTGTGAGGAGCTGCCATGTACGTGCTGGGAACTGAAACTGGGTCCTCTGAAAGAGCAGCCAGTGAGCTTTACAGCTGATCCAGCTCTCCAGCCCTTCTTATAATATTTTAAAAAATATTTTATTTATTATTTTTATTTTTTATGTGTATGAGTGTATTGCCTGCAAAGTTTAAAATTTAAACTGGGTGTAATGGCTCATGCCTATAATCCTAGCACTTGGGAGGAAAATGCAAGAAGACTGCCTAGATAGAGACCCTGCTTCATATAAATTTAAAATTTAAAAACAAGAAATAAAGACCAGGTGTGTAGCACTACACACCTTTAATCCTAGCATTTGGGAAACTGAGTTAAGAAGATCAAGGAATTCTAATAAATAAAAAAAATTTTTTTAAAAGGGGGGTGGCTGGAGAGATGGGTTCAGAGGTTAAGAATGCTGGCTGGTCTTGAAGAGGACCCGGGTTTGATTCCCAGCACCCACATGGGAGTTAACAACTGTCCCTAACTGCAGCTCCAGAGGATCCAATGCCCTCTTCTGATCTCTGTAGGCACTGCATGACATGGGTGCACTTACATGCATGCAGGCAATACACTCAAACACATAAAAATAATGAATGTTTCTTAAAAAGATCAAGGAATTCAGGGTCATCCTTGACTACAGAGAGGAGAACAGGGGCCAGTTTGAGCTACAAGACCTTGCCACAAAGAAAGTTTGAAAAAAAAAAATTGGGGGCTGGAGAATTGGCTTAGACATTAAGAACACTGTGGGGCTGGTGAGATGGCTCAGCAGGTAAGAACACTGGTTGTTCTTGCAGAAGATCCAGGTTCGAATCCTAGCACCCATGTGGCAGATAATAACTGTCCATAATTCCAGTTCCAGGGGATCCGATAGCCTCTCTGTCCTCTGAGGGCATTGCACGACACGGGTGCACTTACCAACATGCAGGCAATACATGCGTACACATAAAATAAAATAAATGAAATATTAAAAAAAAAAAAAAAAAAAAACACTAATTGTTCTTGCAGAAGATCCGGGTTTGAATCCCAGCACCTGCATGGCAGTTAACTGGCCATGATTCTAGTTCAATGGATCTGACAGCCTCTTCTGTCCTCCACGGGTATTGCATGACATGGGTGCACTTACATGCAGGCAATGCACACATATACATAAAATAATAAAAATTTTTAAAAACTTCATCTATTGCTACTTCCTCCACTGCTTTCTGGATGGAGTCACTATACTTTGAGTTATTATAGTGGTATCCAAAGTGGTCAACCTGCTTTTCTGTTTTATTTTGGTTGAAAGGGCTGTTATACAGGTGCAGGCTAAGTCTGAACTCAAAATTCTACTGTCTCAGTATCCCAAATGCTGGGATTACCAGGTGTACACCACAGCTAGCTGTCTTTCTGCTTCTATTTTTGCGTCACTTCAGTCTAATCACAATTTAGAAGAGTGATCCTTTAAAAATATGACGCAGGGAGGCTAGAGGGATGGCTCAGAAGTTAAGAACACTGGTTGTTCTTACAGAAGACCCGGGTTTGAATCCTAGCACCCACATGGCAGCTAACAACTGTCCGTAACTCGCACTTACCTACATGCAGGCAATACACACATACACATAAAAAAAGAAAAAAAAATGTTACAAGGGGCTGGAGAGATGGCTCAGCAGTTAAGAAACTGGTTGTTCTTGCAGAAAACCCGGGTTGGAATCCCAGCACCCACATGGCAGCTAACAACTGTCCATAACTCCAGTTTCAGGGGATCCAACGGCCTCTTCTGTCCTCCACGGGCATTGTACGGCACGTGTACGCTTACCTACATGCAGGCAATACACGCATACACATAAAATAAAAATAATTTTTAAAAAAAGAACCAGATTATATTACTCCACTGCTAAATCTCTCCTTAGTTGTAGCAAAGCCCCAGCTCCTTAACACAGTCTATGTATGTTAAAGAATGTAGTGCTCTTGCATTATCTCTCTGATTTAATTTCCTCATCATCACTTGTTGCATTACAGACACACTGGCTACCTTGCTGTCCCCGAGAGCTGACAACATATCGGCACATTCTGCACTTCAGGGTTTTAAGTATGCTGCCCCCCTCTGCCTGTAAGATTCTTTCCTGTATTTCTTATGGGTCACTCTCTCATAGCCTTTAAATCTTTAACCAAATGTTAATTTTTCTGTACTGTCCTAATCACCTCATTTAAAATTACATTGGGGCTGGAGAGATGGCTCAGCAGTTAAGAGCACTGACTGCTCCTTCAGGACCTGGGCTCGATTCCCAGCACCCACATGGCGGCTATGCACCATCCTTTAACTCCAGTTCCAGGGGAATCCGAAGCCCTCTTCTGACCTCTGCAGCAATGCACAACACGGGTGCACTCACACACATGCGGGCAATACACTCGTACACATAAAATAAAAATAATACGAGTGTATTGCCCGCATGTGTGTGAGTGCACCTGTGTCATACCCACGGGAAGTTAGAAAAAGGCATCAGATTCCCCTGGAACTGGAGTTATGGACAGTTGTTAGCTGCCATGTAGGTGCTGGGAATCAAACTCTGGTCCCTCTGTAAGAGCAGTCAATGCTCTTACCTGTTGAGCCATCTCTCCAGCCCCTCAGTTCATATTTCTTAAATGAACAAATTAGGAAAAATGAGAAGAAAAAGGAAAGGAAAAAAAAAATGAGTAGCCTTTTACTTAGCTTGGTTAGTAATCCTCTAAGGCTTCTGTATGACTGTGTAGGTTAGGAAGGGCCTACCCCCTGTCTAAGGTACAGAAAGGCTATAAGGGCTGTAGCAGAAATCAAACTAGACACAAAGTCAGGGTTGCCACAGAAGTAATGCCTCAACACTCTAGAAGCTAAGCACTCAAGTTTTTGTAATTTTTTTTTTAATTACTAGGGAGGAGTGGAAAGGGGTTAATAGGAAAATGAAGATTACTCATTATGTTTATTTGCTTGAGACTGAGTCTCATGTAGTCTAAACTGGCCTTGAATTCACTATGTAGCCAGAGGAAGACCCTGAACTGATTCTCCTGCCTCTCCACTAGTACTGGGACTACAAGTGGCGGCACCACGTCCAGTTTTAGGAGATGCTGGGGATCATACCCAGGGCTTTGTAAAGCACCATAAGCAAG